AAGGAGAAGGATTCAACTTCACGTTTTTTCCTCTTTCTTCCTAATTTTCCATTGTTATGAATTCTAATCTTGTATTTGTGCAAATACCTATGAGTAGCTAAATTCTCATCTAGGGTTTTATTGAACCTCTTGAAGGATGACTTTTCTATTGCGTTTAATATGAATTTGCTATTTATTTTTCTCTACTTGTTCAACTATATGATTATAGTGGTTGATTGAAGGGTCCTCAATTGACTGTACCTATTTAGTGTGTATTACTTGGAAAAGAGTACATATTTAGGTAGTTGTTGAATAACATCACTCCTAACGTATATGAGGGATCAATACAGATGGTTTAAAGGTGGGATTAGGAATAACGAAACCTTGGTGTGATCTTAGTGAGCAGTAAACTAGTGCCAGCTAGCGTAGTTCGGAAGAATATATCTAGTAAATTATTGTATCTGCTCGGAAGAGAGTTACGACACCTAAAGTACTCAAGATCGGTAGAGAAGATCTAGGTGAATTTATATGAGACGTGGCAGGGAGGATTCCGACGAGAGGAGAAATCGTAATCCTAGACCTTTCCAATCTTGTCTACAACATTTGCTTTGTTAGTATTAAAATTATAGCTTTTTAAATACTTTATTTTTAGTTAGTAACAATCAACTCATTATTCAATATTTCTGAAGGTTGATTACTTGAATTTTTGCGAAATTAGTGGTTGTGATTAGTAGGTTAATTCCCTGTGAGATTCGATTCCAGACTTGTAAATCTGATTATATTTGCAACGACCGCTAGATCTCTTAGTAGGCATAGTTGGACGTGATCATTAATCCTATTTTTGTATGTTTTAAATTAAAGATGCATGTTATTTGTGAGTTGTCGGCTTGCCTAGTATCGCGATAGGCGCCATCACGACATATGTGATTTTGGGTCATGACAGAAGCTTAGGTCAGAGAGGTTACAATAGTTTATGCAATTGAGGAAGGTATTTGCAAGCGTTAAGTTGACCCCGTTGCCACCAAATTTCTCATTTGTTCGTAGAATTTTATTAAAATCACCCCTACTATCCAAGGTCCCTTATAATTGTCCAAGATACATTTAAGATTATTTCACATGATACATCTATTCTTATAAGTATTGCTAGCGTATATAGTTGAAATAAGCCATTTAGTATGAAAGGGGTAATACCTGAATCATATAGTGTATTTCCTGACGTGTCATAGCTACTTCCTCCACGGTGAGTAGGCCAATATTCCAAAGCACAACTACACCTCCTGAGTTGCCCTCAGCAGACACTTGTGCAATATTTGTGAATTGGAAATCATCCCTAAGTATAAGGTGATATATTAGGTGTGTTTCTATCAGAACTACAAGTGTTGGGCGGTGATAGTCCAAGAGATATCGAAAGTTACGGCGGAAGTCAGGGGATTGAGAGCATCTACAATTCTAGATGATGAAGTTCATGCTAGGGGGAATGGGGTGTGGAGGTTCCTCTGCATACAATGTAGAGTTGAACACCACTGCATATTTCCCCATTTCTAGGTTGGTAGTTGGGCGGAGGATGATTGAGAAACAAAGTGGATTCGGGGGGAATATGAGAAATAATTTTTTTTGTGTATTGTTCTTTGAGGACATATGATTGTATTCCTTTTCTTTTAGATATATCACCTATGTTTTGGTTTCCCGGTAATGTTGCATGATCGCCATGATTTCCTGGGGTTAGGCTCCCCTGGTTTGTCTAGAGTGTGAAGGTTAATATGGTGGGTCTGGTGAGTGGTTCTGGATGGGGAGAAGAGGTGGTGTGGGCCAATGTCGTAGACTAATGGTTTTGGCCATAGAGGTCCATCACCAACCTCATCCCATCTGTTACTATTTGAGCGAGGTCAGAGGGTTTGTGTAGCAGGATCATAACCTCTATGATTTCATGTGATATTTGGGCAGTGAATATACGTTGGCAAGGGTTCATGTTTGGGACAATATTATTCATCAGATGATGATGGGTGTTTTGGTAGGGAAGAGGTGTGACTGTGGGAGAGCGATGGATCAAAAGTGATGAAGCATGAGATATAGGAGGAGAGTCCTAGGTAATAGGGGTAGTGGGAAGTTGTATCTGTGTGTCCGTATAAGTAGAGGAGAAAAAGTTGGGGTCTGCTTGTGAGGAAGAGAGGATGTGGGCTGTGGTGGTGGACATGTAGAAGAAGTAAGGCCCAATGAAATTGAGGCGGTGGTATTAAAGTGTTTTAAGGTGGGCTGGTCGGTAGTATAATGATGGGTTATAGGTTTGTGAAAATAGGCCTAAATTTATGTCTCTATGAATGACTCAACAATGGTGGAAGAAGAGGGTAGTTGCTCAGTGGCATAGTGTGCCACGTGTGAGAGAGGGGCACGTTTCATGGCATAACATTGTCAGTGAAGTATAAACCTGAGTCTGCATTGTTGGGTTGGTCTAAGGGACTTTCTAGAATTTTTGATGTATCTTTTTAGTGGACTGGCCCGCTTAGGGGGGAACTTGACGCATGTGCGACCGGATTAGGAGAATTTACATTATTGTCTGACAAGTCATTATCGATTAAATGCGATAAAATTGAGTCATTAAAGAATTTATGAGAAGCCACTTTTGCATTACCTGTAAAACCAATGGTTTACACCTTTGGTGGATTTAGGTTAGTGAACTTATCTGTAGGTGACGTGGATGCCTCTCTCATTGCTAAACATTGTGTAGAAGGGCATACTATTTGGTTGCCAGGAGCATGTATTTGGTGCAAATATTTTTGAGGTTTTCTCCTATGCAAGATTATTGTCTTCCATTCATTGAGTTCTTGTGGGTGCTGTGTGATTTGAGGAGTAGAGGATGGATTTGTGGGGTCAGTTGTTGATTATGAGGATGTATGTTTAATGGTACTAATGAGATGAGTGTAGCTTTGAGTGTTGTGACCAAGTCTGCCACAATAAAGGTAGAATAAATGCAATTACTCATAGTGGATAACTTGTTTGTTTGTTCCGATGTAGATATGGGTTCGTAGAGATTGTTCTAGGGGTACTTCTATGCAAATTTTGGCGTATTTGCCACGAGAGGTGGTCGATGTGCATGTGTCAACTTTAAGTAATTTTTCAATCTTGCTACCCACGCGTTGAAGAATATCTAGATCATAAAATATTGTGGGTAGTTCGGGTAGTCGAATCTATATTGCTGGGTATGTTAAGTTGTGTCTTAGAGGCGATAAACTTTGGTTCTCAACTGCGAACATATAGGAAATGGTTTAGGATGAACCATGTGCTGTCATGAAGAGCTTTTTTCATATTTTCTTCCTGTTGAAATTTATTGAGGAAAAAGTCATCTCCCAGGTCTATTAGTGGAAGCTCTTCAGTTGGTTTCCATTGTGAAAAGATCTTTTGCCGCAGCAGTTGGTGTCCAACTTTGCGACCAAATACTTTAATAATAGTTGAGTATTTCCAAGGAGAATATAATCAGCTTTTCTCGGTAGATGTGAGGGGAATAAAGGGGCCAGTGTCTGCGTTTGCATGGATTTCATCACTGAGGTCTAGTGGATCTTTGTTAGTAGGCGTTATTGAAGTTTTAGTGGATATATGTGCACGGTTTATTAGCTCATGCAGGAAAAAGGGATTCTTGGACTTGGAGTGTTGCTATCTATTTATATCAAAATAAAGTCAGGAGGGGGATTGAGGGATGGGGGTTAGTGGTTGATGATTGATTAGACATGACAGGATTGAATTAGGCGTAAGGAGTGGGGAAAAATATTCTTGATAGGAGAAGAACTATGAGGAGAGAGAACAAAGAGAATTTTATTGAATTACACTTTTATAGTCTTTTGACTCAATTTATTGGTAACACGGTTTAATATTTCATTTTCTCTTCAAATTTCAAACTACCCCAAGGTAGAAACTTTAAAAATATATTTCGGAAGCACAATAGAGTTATGTTTATTTTTTTCTGTCAATATACGGTATCTGTTTTTTGGCTCGACTAATCTGGATTCGCACCATAAAGTTTCACTTTGAAAATAAAATGCTTCATACCAAAGGCAACATCATTTTCAGAACTCAAACTTTCACCCTTTAGTCAAGGAAGAAGATTAGCTTTTCATAAAACAATCTTAAGATTTCAAGCAAGCATGTCAAATCTTCCTCTGATTTTTACTTTAAGTATCAAATGAATGAAAAACAAGTTATAGTGTGTATTAATAAGGGTTTAATATTATTTATTTTCTCAAATCCATAGTGGATCTTGTAGCTCATTAGTGTGGGTGGGTGGGGGTGGGGGGTAATTGAAATGGGTGAAAAACAAGAAAAAGGTGTTATGAAAATGGATAAAATAGAAGAAAACCCCAGCAAATTAAGGGGTATTACATTTCTCTTCTACTTCTATTCTCAAATTTAAAATGTCACATATTTGTAAGCTGGATAAGATGTGAAATTGCACTCGAATGACCTCCTCAACCACCGAACGCCACCTATGGAGATTATTTTGATAGTAAGAGAGTTTTCAAATGTATTTATGAAAGATTTATTGGAATGACGTCCTAAAATTTAGTTTTACATTAACTTATTAGCAAACACATAGTCTACATATATAACTCCTTAATGTATGACTCTATGAGTTAAAGGAATTTAAACGAGTAACTATAGTATTATTTTAAAATAAAGGGTTCATCAGCCAAATATTTTACCTCGCGATGTGTTGACTTGTGTAAAATGTACGTCATAATCAATTGACATACTTATTAAAGTGCATATTTTCGCTGAATTTTATGGTAAAATTCTTCAAATCATGTATCTTCATCGCATGCGTCTAACACTAGAACAAAAATTCGATAATCGAAGTAGAACCATATTCAAAGTTTTCGATCTGACTACTATAGTCACAATTAGTAAGCATACTATCATTCAACTAATACAAAGATAAAATGAGTTCATCTCGTGATGATTACTAAACTATCAAATAACAGCTATTTGTTTTATGCGATTGTTAGAGTTATATAATGTGAGAATGTTATGAATCAAAAATTAGTGAGAAACTACAAAATTCCCTCTTGCTAAGATTGCGATAATGAACGTACAATCATGTACAATACACATTATAACGAGCGTACATCTTTCTTCTTTTTTGTTTGTTTGAAGAACCACCAAAAGTTCAAATTTCAAAATTAGAATCAGAATAGCCCTCCATCGGCGCGCTCACACCACGTCCGCCGCAACCGCAATGGCAGGGATATCGAAGGCGGCGCCGGGAGCATTCACGATAACACCACACAAGCTCTCAATTTGCATTCTCATTCAAGTCTATGCTCCTCCCTCCCAAACCTCTGTCCCTTTCCCTTTCTCTTCCGTCTCTCAACACAATCTCCTTGCCTCCTTCTTATTATCTCTCACTAAGGTAATTTTTTCTTTTATCTCTCCCTAGCTTTCAAATTCCCAGTGATTATCAGATAGTCGATTAGAAATTTTTCAGTTTCAATCGTAGTTAATTTTTTTATGAAAATGATTTTTTTTCTGTACAACACTAAGCACTTTTGACTTTGAAACTGCTTCGGTGAAAATTGACGCTGGTTATATCCGGTAAAAGGAGCTTCTGAAATAATAAATATTTAGTTATTTCTTACTACTTTAGATAATATATCATGTTTAATAATTATTTAGCAGCAAGCAGTTTAAATGTATATGAAAAAAGTGGTTTTGTTTATATGATAATTAAACGCTGATTTTCATTAATGAAAACTGATTTTATCGAGTTAGTGATTTAATCAGATAAAAGAACCAAATCAAACAGCCTCTAGAGGTCAGCGTTTTTTGCTGCTTTTTATTGTATTAGAACTAGATGTATGTTGATAGGGTTAGCATTTCTGATTTGAACTTAATTTTCTTCATTTCTAGAAAAAAAAGGGTACCTGAAACTTTCACCATGGTGTTTGGTATGCATTATGCTGATTTGTATTTTATTAGTCATTTAGGACTATATATCAATGATTTTGTGGGTAAAATGGTTGGCGGTCAAAATCTCCAAGCGCAGTGTAGAGAATGCTGTTTGAACAGAGTAAATTTGTCTTTTTTCTTGGAACAGTCTTCTGAGGATATTTTTGAGCCAAAGCTGGATGAACTCATCTCACAGCTGAATGAAATTGGAGGCGTACTGAAGCATTGGTTGAGCGACCATTTAGCTGGAAAGCTATCATCTTTAGCCTCACCAGACGATTTGTTTAACTTTTTTAATGGCTTGCGAGGTAATGGGACTTATTATTAATCTGAGTTTTTAACCTGCTTAGCTTTTTATTTACGAAGTTTTATCATTTATGTTATTATTATGAATAGGCATACTTGGGGGTTCTGATTCAAATGCCATGGATGACGATCAAATCATTTTGGATCCTAGCAGCAATCTTGGAGTCTTTGTTCGTCGTTGCTTACTTGCGTTTAATCTGTTGTCCTTTGAGGTACTATTGAACTATTCATTATCTTGTTAGAAGGACTTGGCTCTGTCAAGACAATGGCACAATGAAGCATAAAGTTCAATGCATGCGTCTTAAGTGTTATTCTTCTTGTGCAGTCATTGCTATTTATGAACAATTTGAATTTTGATTTTACTTTTCCAATTTGACTTGCTATTGCGATTTATTTTTGCTTGGATCATGCATAGGGTAAATCCACTCAATAAAAGGTTGATAAACATATATCTCTGGATTGTTTGCTGTGTAGGCTGTCTGTCATCTTTTGACAAATGTAGCAACATATTGCAAGGAATCTCTCTCGGCTTATCCTCCTTATGAGTTATCACATTTTAACGATTCTGATAGCTATACTGAAGCACCAAAGCACTATGAGAACATGGATTTGGAGAATTTTGTTGTTGAGAAAGTCAACAAAGAAATCGAAGCGAGAAATGTGGTTGATGAAAAGCTTTCCTTCCACAATCATGCACCTAAAGCTCTAGTTAGATCAATTGAAGGTATTTTTCTTTGGTATATTTGTAGAAGTAAAATCATATCTGTATGCATTGGGAAAGATTGATTCCTTTATGGTGCAAAATTTACGTGCAATCATTCAGTTGAGGATACTGCTATTATCACTTCATGAAAAAGGGCTTTGTGTTCCAAAAGAAAGAGTAGAGTTATGCTTCTTCCAACAGTATTTTCTAGCTATTTGTAGCAAGGATAATCATTCCTTGTAGTTATTCCAACATTAACAAGGATTTTAGTGCATCATATAGGTAGTACGCAACTTTAAGCACTATTCAGATTTACTGTGTGAACGATGAACAAAACCAGGATTCTAATTTCAGATGGTATTCTCATGTTGAATTTAGTTCACATTCTATGAAATCCAGATCCAGTTGGATACAAAGCTTCATGGGATCTCGTACTTTTTCTGTGTAGATGAGTAACTTATTCAGAAGCTTGGTCAGTAGGCATACAAATTTACGGGAGTTTCCCATTAAGGGAAATTCTGAAAAATAACACGAACAAAAGCTGCAGCAGCTATTATAGACCCTTACTGATTGCTGTAGTAGACTTGCTTACCTGCCTAAGACATGATGATTTTGTAGACGAATAACTTATTTTGAAGACTATCAATAGAAGTATAAAGGATATACGGGCATTTTCCTCTTATGCAGTAGAAAATATTAAGGAAATTCCAGAAAGTAAAATTAACAGAAGCTGTAGCGACTATACCGACCTTTACTGATTGCTGTAGTGGTCTTATTTACCTTCCTAAGATGTGATGTGTTGATGTCTGCTCCGTAATCCGGGTATCTTATTCAGCTTTGAACTGTCTTTGGTTCTTGCTTACTGAAATACTTGGAAATGAATAAGCCAATATAAATGATACTTATGCTTTTTTAGTGCTTAATGTTAGTTAGCCATGGGTTGCAGATCGTTATTCTTCTCCCGGGCCACAAATTAAAAGAATCACTAAGCCAAGAGAAGTTAGCACATGCGCATCTTCTTCTTGTGATGCATCGGATTGTGTTGATTCTCAGACTGGAGCGTTCTTACGTACAAATTGGCAAATACAAGGATATCTCTTGGAGCAAGCTGATACAATTGAAAGGTGACTGAAGTTTTATCGAATACTTGTGTCAGCATATCATGTTTGTCTAGATTCTTAAGTAAATAATTTATCTTCTCTTTCAGGCAGGGAAGCTCCTTCACTCTCAATGCTTTTGAGTCTGTATTGAAGGACCTTCTTAAATTAGCTCCAGAGTTACATCGCGTAAGATACTATGGAGTGATGTGTTTTGGGGATTTGAGTTGAATTTGTATTATCTGTCTCTAAAGTAACTTTTTCTGCATTTTATGAAGGTTCACTTCTTGCGTTACTTGAATAGCCTTTATCATCAGGACTATCATACTGCTCTAGAAAATATCCACCGGTATTTTGATTACAGGTATACTTATGTCGTCTATTATGTTGTATCAACATTTCAAATGTCCTTCATGTGTGCATTAATAACAACTCGCAGAATCTTTGGATGATGCTCAGTGTAGTATACTAGCAGTAGTTAGCCGGTAAAAGTTTACTCAAAGACACCAGCAATCTGCCAGGAAATACTAGATGTTTGAAGAATGATATTCTGTTTACTTATTCTAGGCAACCATAATGTGAGCTTGGGGCTTACCCTTGCAATTCTATGGGCATCCCTTTGATTAGACTATGACCAGCAAGCTAATTTCTACTTGACAATCTTATCATCTATGATGATCTTATCGTGCTTATGAACCTGGACTAATTAGGCCTTGGGGCAATGAGGATTTGGTTCTATCTTCAAGTTAAATGGTCGATTCCTAGGATCAATAAGTTTTTTGTAAAAGCAATGACTAGAAGTTATGTTGACAAACATAAAGTTTGAGGTATAATTAAGCAATGCATAAAATTCTAGAAGGTTTTTGTAGATGTTGTTGTGTCCTAAATCTATTGAAAAATAAGAATTGTCCCATAGCTCATTGAAGCAATGCTAATTTAAGGACGGTTGGCCTAGTGATCAGTGAAGTGGGTGAGAACCATGAGGTCTCAGGTTCAAATCCCAGCAAAGGAGAAAAAACCGATGTGATATTTTCCCATTTGTCCAAGCCTTGGTGGATAGAGTTATCTGGTACCTGTTGTTGGTGGGAGGTGGCAGGTATTCCATGAAATTAGTCGAGGTGCGCATAAGCTAGCCCGGAAACCATGGTTTCAAAAAAATAAAGGAATAGAGAGAGAATTGCGGGGCGTGGGGGTGGGTTAAATGTGTCATGATCATTATTACTAGTGTGAAATTAACTTAAATGTTTTTAACAATTTACAAGAGATGTTCCTTATATCGGAGTCTTAGGCTACATACTTCTCTATGCTAATAAGGTAAGTAAATATTCCGTAATCAAAATAAAGATTATCCTACGGTATTCTATAAGATTTTCTTTGTTCAAGCACAATGAGGACATGTATGAATTTAGACTTGACATTCTAAGTTTCTAAAGGACCGCCTTAAACTCAAAGTCAAAGTGGAGAGACCAACTTGAGTTTGCTTATATTGGAATAATAGAAATTTGACGTTGAAATCTCGCTGGGATAGTGCACAATCACAAGCGGTGCTAGAGTCCTTTCCTCCGAAAAGTCATTGGTAAGTACATAATGAAAGAAAGTGCTTCTTGCACTACTATGTAATTGAAGAGTTTGAGAGTACGCAGTGAATCCACCCGCCACAGAAATAGGAATTTATTCTCAATCATGTAAAAAGGATATGGTGTTGTAAATTTCCAAGACATTATCAACCTTAACTTAAATTGCAGAACAATGACAAATAATTCAAGGTTTATAGGAGGGCACTGAGCCACTGATAGCATAGAAGTTAGTAGCATCTATCGGTGTGATCGTTCATGCCATCAGAATGATCGCCATGAATGATCCTAAAGAGAGGAGCATCACCTCAATAGTTGTCATAGAGAAGAGCATCGCCTGGACGGTCATCCGGAGAGTAACAGTGCCGGTTGTCGAAGAGAGGGGTGGTGTTGGATACAAGGAAGAAGAGAAGAAGAACAATGGCCGGGGGGCAACACATATTGTCCAGCGCAGCCCGCCAGTAGCTTAAGTTATTTGAATCTCTACCAAGATTGTAGAGGCTATGGTACTATGTGAAAATAAGAAAAACTTCTCATTAACTCGATTTTCTAAAACAGTTTGCAAAGAAGTGCTCCTAATAAAGGAGTCTTATGCTACGTACAATATGGTAAATAATCGATCTCCATACTAGTAAGATAAGTAAATATTCCTTAATAAAATACATAATACACTACAATATTATAAGATTATCCTTACTCAAGTACGATGAATTCAGACATATATAAATCTAGACACATATTCACTTGACTCTAACACTTTGTAAATATATCTGAGAAATATTTTTACCAAAGTGCAGGGACGGAAGGATGTGATTTTATACCTTCTTCTTCAACCGGTTGCAGTAGCTTTGGGAGATATGAAGTTGCTTTATTATGCTTGGGAATGATGCATTTTCATTTTGGGCACCCAAAGCAAGCTTTGGAGGTAGGCATATTCAACGTCATTTCCTACCTTCATTGTCCATGTTCTGTTTTTCATACTTCATTGATTTTGATGTAGGCCATGCCCCCCTTATTGGTGTGCTGAAGGTGAGGGTGGGCGTAGGAGTGGTCTTAGGATCTTTGCTGTTGCACTTTGGCATAACAACTATTTGCTTGATATTTTCAGGTGTTGACAGAAGCTGTTCGTGTGTCTCAACAGGTGGCCATATTTGTTCCTTCCCTTTTTTCGACTATGGCTTCCCTTCTCTTATATATTATTTTTTATTCCTTTGTGCACTAAAGTGGCATATAATATTGTTTGTTCACTTGCGTTGATACAAATGTGTCATATTGAGAAAATTTTCAGATGAAAGGCAACCAAGATTAAAACCACGGGATCTTAATGGCCATCAACATATGCATTTACGATGATACAGCTAATGTTGATAAAATGCTTAAAAACATTGCTTTGTTGATCACTTATAGTGGCATTTTATGATTGATTGACCAATACTTAGCAAGTCAAAAGTGAAGTCAAAAGTGAAGGCTTGTACAATTGCTGGGTAGGGCATTTCCTGCTGTAAGGAAACATGATATTGAGTGACCTGACTTAGTGGCAGATGAACTTGAAGTTAACTCAGTTAAAGCAAGTCCCTAATCTTGGTCTAGTTTAGTTGTATTGTCTATTTTGTCTCAAAGAGTTTATCCTAACAAGGAGTTAAAAATGCAATTGATGTATACCACCTTTCCTATGTTAAAGAAGTATATCATCATAGCAGTCCCAATTATCTTGCAATCTTTTGATGAGTAGTTTGGAGACCATTGAATTTCCTGCATTCCTTCTTTAGGCGTTTTTCATTATATTGTGTTATAGGATTATGAGCAAATACTTTTTCTTGTCACCAACTAGTTGGCAAATGATTGGTTTTGCAATATTTCCTTGCCTGGGGTGTCTGCACAAGATGATGAATGAACACTGCTATTTAATTGATGCCCATTGAACCTTTTCATAATTGGATACCGGGGAAATTAGCGCAATTATTGTTTGCCAAAATAAAAAATCAAGATCTACATATACTATACATAAAAAATACTACGTCTATTTTCATCCTTGGCCTCTCTGCAACTTATTTCAGTATCCTAGAAATTTCCATCACATCTTATATTGTAACAAAAGTTACATAGATCCTGTCTCTACACTTTCCAATGCAACTCCTCATTTTTATTTTCTTAAATATCTGAAAATAACTTTTAGCAGTTGCGTTTTTCCCAATGTATAAACTACAAACTTCAACCGTTGTTTGAACAATCATCTAAATCAGAACAAAAGGCTCCATCTGGGGAGGAGCTTTAACATTTTTTATCAAATTGCATAACATGCTTAGCTGACGGCCAAACGTGCAAACTCTGAATAGAGAAAATTGAAAAGATACTGAAATTACAAATCTCCAAAACGGCATCCATCTCTGTTACATTATACCCTTGTGACCAATGCATTAACAGTAAGTGGCGAAGGAGCTCCAAGAAAATGGAGACCTCTCTTCACTATCAGCTGAATCCATTCAGAATTGTTTTTAAATGCTAAAAATGTGAATCCCGCTGATGAAAAGGCACAAGTGGAACTCGGTTGAAGTGTCAATGTCTACGGCCTATCTTTCATTGTATTAATCAAAACTCTGGTAGAAAGTTTTTAACTTCTTTTCCAGAAGACAGCAATAAATATGGTTATCCGGTCCTCCCAGATATCAGTTTGTTTCAACCATAAACAGGCTTGATGTGCCTGTAATAACTTTTTCCCTGTAGAGTTGCCTCTTTATTTAATTTATAACATCCCTTACTAGGAGATCTAATATTTCTCCTCTCTTCATATGCAGCAAAATAATGATAGTTGTCTTGCTTACACGTTAGCAGCAATTTGCAAGCTATTGTCTGAATTTGGAGTCTCAAATATGAGGGGGCTTATCGGATCATCCTATTCACCTGTAACCAGTATAGGAACTTCATTATCCACTCAACAACTCTTATATGTTCTCTTGAGAAGATCCTTAAAGCGAGCGGAAAGTCTAAAGCTGAAACGACTGGTTGCATCTAATCATCTTGCCATGGCTAAATTCGACCTGACTGTAAGCACTTTAATCACTCTCTTGTTTATGCATTGCAGTGACCAAATAATTAATGGTGATTTTTAATCATAGCATACACCAAGGTAGACCCATTTGCATGAGTAAAGTGTGTTTATGTAAGGGCACCTTCTTTTAAAGAAAAAAATGTGTATGTGTAAAGTGAAAAAATGTAAAGGCAGTAAGAAACAGAAGCAGTACCCATTCTCGCTCATTCATGTTGCAAGGTGTTACTCATTTTGTGTCCTTGAATATGTCGTACGAATTACTCAATTGAATTTGTTGCTTTTGGGTGTTCACTGTTCATTCACTCAGATAAGACAATTAAAGTCTAACATAACATCTTTTGAGATTTGGTGAACTTTTGAGATTTGGAGAGTATGTGAAATAGCCAGTGCGAGGTATTATTCATGAACTTAATGTAATATTAGCATTTCTTACTTTATTTAATCAGACTGTGGATACTTTTAATTTCATCATTCCATTTATCTGTCTCCTATTTGAGATATCTTAAAGGTGTTAGATACATTATGCCTCAGGTTAGAATAGAGGGGCAAACCCATTGACCTTGGAATTTCAGAGCTGGAATTAGTGGATTTATTATTATTAAAAAAATAAAATTCATTTCACGTCAGTTGGAAAAAAGGTTCAAATCTATAAACTAAGTGGAATCTAAACTGTTGTATGTGTTTTTCCTTGAATTAAATGTTTTTGCAGAAATGCTACTCAATCCATCAATCAATCAACTAAATTCCAATCCCAAATTATTGGGGCTTACGAAATGCTACAATATAGTATAGCAAATTCTTCCCAGTTGCTTAACATTCACATTCACATCCACAAGCCTTTTATCTATGGGCTTGATAATTCTGGCGTGCTCCATTCCCCTCTGTACTCCCCGTACTTATCCCTAAGCAGCAACAACAACAACAACAAACCCAGTGAAATCCAACAAGTGGGGTTTGGGAGGGTAAAGTGTACGTAGACCTTGCCCCTACTTTATGACAGTAGAGAGACTGTTTCCGAAAGACCCTCGGCTCAACAGAAGTGAAAATGAAGCAATAAACAGACAATAGCAACAACAAGGTAATTAGACATAGGCACAAATGGAGATACGTGCAATAACAGAGATCTAAGAATACGACACTATAAGAATAGAGTCAATCTCGCTGGAAATAATGACACAATGTGAAATAGCAAGGGGTTAGGAATAGGAAAATACAGGACTAGTATTAATACAGTAATACTACTGGGAAGCCTAGACGAAACTCTAGACCGCCTGCCAACCTACAACCCTAATCTTTGACCTCCACACCCTCCTATCGAGGGTCATGTCCTCGGTGAGCTGAAGTAGCACCATGTCCTGCCTAATCACCTCACTCTAGTACTTCTTAGGCCTCCCTCTACCCCTCCTTTGATCCTCCATGTTCAACCTCTCACACCTCCTAACCGGGGCATCAGGGTCTCTTCTCTTCACATATCCGAATCATCTCAGTCTCAATTTCCGCAACTTATCTTCTACAGGAGCCACACCCACCATGTCCCTAATATGCTCGTTCCTAATCTTATCTTTCCTGGTATGCCCACACATCCATCTCAACATCCTCATTTCCGCTACTTTCAACTTCTGGACATGAGATTTCTTATGGCCAGCACTCGGCTCCATACAACATGGCCGGTCTAACTAACACTTTATAGAACTTGCCCTTAAGTCTAGGTGGCACATTCTTGTCACACAAAACACCAGAAGCGAGCCTCCATTTCATCCATCCCGCTCAAATACGATGTGCGACATCCTCGTCGATCTCCCCGTTACCCTGTACCACAGACCCAAGACATTTGAAACTATCTCTCCTGGGGATGACTTGTGTATCCAGCTACACGTCCACTTCTGCTTCATGAGCCTCAACACTAAACTTACACTCCAAGTACTTATCCCTAAGCGATGTTATTAAAATCCATTGTTTCCTCGCTTAGCGATCCGAAGCGAGAAGTTATTGTTTCATGGATGAAGCCATGCACTTTATAGAAGTGTGCGCTTCAAACTATGGTGCGCAAAGTGAGCTCAACAACAAGCAGCCGGTGAATCTTAACTTTGAGGAGTTGGATTATTGACATTATTGTACATTGAACAATTAAATTAGTTATTTTTAATTGCAATTTGTTCATTATAAGTACTAAATTCATATATATATATATATATATATATATATATATATAT